TAATGGACATGTCATTAACTTCACCTTGGACACTGGGGCAATGGCAAATATCATAACGCCAGAAACATTGAAGGTAATAGGTTTCGATTTTAATAGTTTGAGTCGAACAGATGTTGTGTTAAAGTCATATACATTAAATACCTTGCCAGTGTTGGGAGAGTGCAACCTTGAGTGTACAGTCTCAAATATTAAGTCACTTCTTTTATTTTATGTGGTAAACCAAAAGAGTAAACCAATTTTAGGTCTGAAAGCTTGCATAGAATTGAACCTGATTAAAAAAGTAAGTGTCATAACTAATGATAATTGTTGTGATTTGGATTCCCTATTAAAAAAGTACAGGTTTTTATTCCAAGGTATAGGATCTCTGCAAAAGCCATATCACATCGAGCTTGAAGATAATTGCAACCCAGTAGTTCATGCTCCCAGAAAAATCCCATTTGCTTTGCAAGAAAAATTAAAAGAAGCTTCAAGTCAGTTAGAAAAAGATGAAATTATTGTTAAAACTAATGAAAGCACTGATTGGGTGAATCCCATTGTTATTGTCAGAAAGAGTAATGGCTCTTTGATAATCTGTCTAGATCCTCAAGATCTAAATCGAGCTATTAAGAGAAGTCACTTTAAAATACCAACCCTAGACGAACTAACATATAAGCTAGTTAACTGTAAATATTTTAGTACGTTGGACGCAACTCAGGGTTTCAGCATAATTCATTTAGATGAAGAAAGTTCTAAGCTATGCACCTTTAGTGCAGGTGGGTTAGGTAAATACCGTTTTCTGCGGATGCCCTATGGAATATCATGTGCTCCTGAGGTTTTCCAATAACGAATGTCTGAAATATTTGAGGGAATAGAAGGTTGTGGAGTTTATTTTGATGACATTCTTATATTTTCTGATAACATTAATACTCACAATAAAATCTTAAAAGAGGTTTTTCAAAGAGCTTCTGAACATAATGTTCGTTTTAATAATAGTAAATGCAAGTTTTGTGTGTCTGAAGTGAAATATCTAGGTCATAAAATCTCTGAGCATGGTATAACACCAGATGAGGCCAGATGAGGTAAGTTTGTAGATAATCTATCAGAAAAAACAGCTCCTTTAAGGTTACTTTTGAAAAAAGATGCTATATTTCAATGGGAAGAAATTCACGAGAAATCATTCAATACCATGAAAGAAATTTTGTGTAAAAAACCTTGTCTGAGTTTTTTTGATGCCAACAAAGATATAACAATATCTGTTGATGCCTCGAAGGATGGCATGGGAGCCACTCTCTTACAAGATGGACGTCCGTGTGCGCATGCTTCGAGGGCATTAACAGATACTCAAAAACGATACTCGCAGATAGAAAAAGAGTGTTTAGCAGTGTGGTTTGGGTGCGAACGGTTTTACCAGTATGTTTTTGCACAGAAAACATTTACTGTAGAGACCGACCATCGCCCCCTGCTGCAAATTTTTAAAAAGCCAATCAGCTCTTGTCCAGCAAGACTACAAAGAATGGTACAGCAACTTAGAAAATACGATTTTAACTTGGTTTATAAACCTAGAAAACAGCTTATCATTGCAGACACTCTTAGTAGGGCGTTTGAGAACAAACACTTCAATGAGAACATTGACATAGAAGTTGAAGCACAGGTATGCCTTGTCTCTATGAATCTAAATGCAACAGAAGATAAAAAACGTGAACTAATTGGCTTAGCAAGAACAGCAAGTCCTAAAAAGTTATGTTTTAAATGGTTGGCCAAATAAAATGAAAGAGGTGTCAGAAAATGTTAAATTTTATTACAAATTTCGCGCTGAAATCACAGAAGCTAATGGTTTACTTTATAAGGGACAAAAACTCATCGTCCCTAGGTCGGCGAGACAAGAAATTCTTAGAAAATTGCACTCTTCTAGTGACCAAGGTATAAAAAAGTGCATAGAAAAAGCTAATTTATCATTCTATTGGCCTTCAATGAATGAGCAAATTCAAGATGTGGTCATGAGCTGTGACACCTGTCAGCGATTTCAGAAAAGCAATCCTTCTGAGCCCATGATTTCTCATGACATAACAAAGTTGCCTTGGTATAAAGTAGGTTGTGATATTTTCAGACTAGAGGGAGAAGCTCTTTTATTGGTTGTCGATTACTATTCAAAATACATAGAAGTAGGACACCTAGGTACGGATCTTTCAAGTGATAATGTTATCCTCCAATTGAAATCAATATTTGCCAGACATGGAATACCTCGCATTGTAGTTTCAGATAATGGGCCAGAATTTTCAAGTAAATTTTTCAAGAATTTTTCACTAGAGTGGGACTTCAGTCATGCTACTTCGTCCCCAAGATATGCACAGTCCAATGGACAAGTGGAACGGTCAATACAAACTATAAAAAATATGTTGAAAAAATGTAAATTCGAAAGAAAAGATCCTTACCTAGCTCTTTTAGACTATCGCAACACACCGCTAGATGGGCAGTCCTCACCAGCAAATGTACTAATGAGTAGAACACTCAGAGACTTACTGCCCAAAGCAAATAAAGTATTTTTACCTTCTACGAGAAATAAACCTAAATTTAACAAATTTGTAGATAGTGCGCAGAGTAGACAAAAACATTTCTTTGACAATAGGGGAACAAAAACCCTTCAAGACCTTAAACCTAACGACAAAATTTTAATTCAATACCAGTTTGGCAAAGGTTGGGTTAAAGGTTTAGTACAGAAAAAAGTAGGTATTCGCTCTTACAGAGTTGTTACAGAGGATGGGTCAGTATTGATTAGAAATAGAAAGTTCTTGAAAAAATATTATGAAAATTCGTACGATTCACCTTCTGTGAATAATGACTATCACTTCCTAGGAAGTAAAAATTTGAATAGCAATGACTCTCAGTATTTATTTGTAGATATATCTAGTAATAGTGATGGAAATGAAAGTTTAGTTGATAGTTATGGTAGAGCAGGACATCAAAGTATAGTCGAAGAGTTAGATTTGCCCAATGAAAGTATAAGACAGGAAAGTTCTGTGTCTAATGACTTGTTATCACATAATACAAATTATGTTATAGAAACTAGTACCTCTGATAACGAAATTACAAATTGTCTTCCGGATTTAGAACTAGATTCAGAGATAAATACAAATTTTCCACAAACGTCAAGGTCAGGCAGGCTTGTAAAGAAACCAAGAAAATTTAAAAATTTCTATACATATAATTAGCAGTGTCATTCCATTGTTCACAAGTTAGCCGAATAATCAGGTAGTATGAAGGTTCACCTCTACTAGTCATTGAAAAATGTTTCTTCCTGTAGTAAGATGCACAAAAATGTTCTAATGTTAGCCATGTACCTGAGTGAATTTTTCTTTTACAAAAAAGAAAAAAGGGAATTATTCAAAAGGGAAGGATGATAGCAAATAGCAAATGAGTAGGGAATATTGACTTTTAGTAGTTTGTATTTTTTAAATTGTAAGTGGTTAAAGTAGATGTGCGTAATTCAGTTCGTTGTATACATATATGTGTTGAAAATGTTAAATTTTGAAATGAAAGGGAGATGTCATGCAGTGTTATTATGCACACGCCTTACAGGCTCCTAGACACTGCCAAACAAAGTCTCATGTCATAGTTGTTGTCAAAGGTCACTACTGTGTTTTTCACCTGTCAACCACTTTTCCTGTGCAGGACTAATAAATCAGTCATCACCTGCTTCTTGACTAGAACCTGTGTCTTATTGCTAACCCACCTGATCACGAAACCTAACACAGTTACTGCTCAAGAAAATGAGTTGTTCTGAATGGTCAGCTGTCAGGCAACTTCTGTTGTCAGTTACGACTAACCCTCCTTTGCTGAAAACTCTTTCAGAGGGAACACTGGTAGCTTGAACTGATAAATATTTCTTTGCTAATTGACTCAATCTTGGAAAATTGTTTTCATTGAGTTTCCACCACTCCAAAGGGTCCTCGCTGGGATCGATGGCACTGCAAGCGAGATATTTCTTCAGTTCATTCTCGTCATCTTCTTCTGATGATGAATTGGTTTTCAAAGTGGAGAAGATGGCTCCAAATCCATCCGACTTCTTTTTTTTTTCGGCTAGTTGTCTGTCACAACTTCACATGTTCTTGATTCATCCAGAATCTCTTCTTTAAGAGAAGTTGAATCTTCACTCCTGAGGAGAATGCACTTGAATCTTGGATCTAGCAGGGTGCACTTTTTCAAAAAGGAATCATTTGCTATATTCAGGTATCGTTTCTCTAAGTAATCAATTAAACTTTGTATCGCATGAATCTTTGTTCTATTGACGGACATGTCTATTTGCGTTTCGTCTGTGTCAGTCTCGGTATAAAATTGTTCCTTCATCTGTATATATAATGGGTAAATCGCTGAGGCTGTAATATATTTTATTTCTGACTGGTATATTATAAGCTTATATCATCTTAGTTACTATCAATTAGGAGGGTCATAACTCCCTTGGGATGTTATAGATGCTATGATTCCCTCTAGCTAAAATTAAATAAGAAATGCATAGCAACAACCACGCAATAACGTAGCAATAAGGAATCTCCTATTCGTGGTAGTCAAGATCATCATCTGACGTTCTGATGACATTGAAACTATACGGGAAAAACATGTCTAACTTCCAATCGGGAAGGTATCTAATGAATGAAATCAGTCAGAAATAAAATTATCTATGTATCACGGGAATTATAGAGCCTTAATAACCTCTGGCAATTGCTGTCCCTCGGGCCAGAGGCCCTCGGGACGCAAACTTTGCCATCGGTAATTAAGGCCCTCATAATTCCCTTGATACATAAATAACTATTTCACCTGCCATCAACTCTGACATGCGTTCTACAGGCTTCAAAATATTAATCAATGATTTCATCCGGTCGATTTCCAATACAGATATGTAGGTCTTATATTTGCCCTTATTGTATACTTGGAATAAGGACGACAATGCCACATTTTGTTCAACCAAAACTTCCATTAGATGAAGGAGAGACCACTATCTCGTTTTTGTGAATGATGGGATTTTTTTATCTGGCAAATTGTATTTTCGTAATTATCGTTTCTAAATCTGGCGAATCCATTATTTTTGTTACAGGTGTATTGATGGTATGTCCAAAGCAACTGACTCTATTTATTTTCATAAGATTTATTGCTTTGACTATATTTGCGCCAGAGTCAGTTGTGAATCCTACAACTTTTTGTTCCGGTATGTCCCACTCCTGTAATAGATCTTTTAAAGCATCACAAACATTTTCTGCAGTATGATCCTCACTCATCTCTCTACAATTCAGAACTGCACTCTGTATAGCCCAATCATTATTGATCAAATGTGCAGTGAGCAAAATGAATGGTTTTGAAGCTACATAAGTCCAGGCATCAGTAGTAAAAGATATATATGAAGCGGAATCGATGTAGCTTTTAATCTTAAGCTTTGTGGTATCATACATTTTCGGGATGATTACTTCTATCAGAGTTTTCCTTGATGGCAATACATATCCAGGCTGCATTGTCTGTATCAAATGCTTGAAACCATCATTCTCCACAATATTGTAGGGTTGCATATCCACAGCCACAAAATATCCCAAGCATCTATCAAGTTTCGTGGATCTCTTACTGTTGATAGTAAATGATGAAATTTTGGGTTGATCAGAACTCTTTCTATGCCCAAAGGATACAGGTGTTGAAGAAGTAGATGATAAAGTTGACTCACCAGGAAATTCATTGTTTTCTAATAGTGTCACTTCCGGTTCCAAAATAGATGCCTCATCTTCCACTCTGAAATAATTGTGACATGTTCAATATTTTCCAGAACATTTGCTAGCTAGAACGAGCCGATTATGAATTGGGAAAAAGAATACAACTTGTTTGAAGAGTTAGAGAGATTGAGGTAAAATCTACTCATTTTTCATTATTTCATCGCACTAAAGTTGTTCAATTATATTTTATTTTACCAAATAATATCACGTGAGCAAATTCCATTCATTTTAAAAAGTACTCCGAGACAAATGAGAAAATATATTTCTACCAACTTTAGTAAAACGAATTTGTGAAAAATTGAGAAATTGAGCTACTATCGACTTATTTTTAATTATTTTGTGTAACTAAAGTGTGTTGATTGTTCTTTATTTAACATAACAATGTTATGGATGTGAGTTTCATCATTATTACATATTGCTTCGAGTTCCTCGTAAAAAATATGTTTCTACCAACTTTAGTGGATCAAAGTTAGTCAAGAATAATGGTTGGAACTACCACCAGCTGCCTCATTAATAGTGTGTGTAACTAAAGTCGGTATTTTGTATTTCATTTAGCGAAATCTCATACTAGTATTTTTTCAATGAAATTTCGGTGTGAAATTTTCTTACCGAATACCACTTTAGCTCCAATTAATATCCGGAAATTTTTTCTCGAACACGAACATTTATAAAATTCGACTCGGGAGAATTTTCAAAATATACGTGTTCTCGAAAAAATTCCGGAAATAATTGGAGCTCTCGTGGTATTATAAGTGAAAATTACTGTCCACCTAGCGAGCTGATGGTGCGAGGCAATCAGCGAGTACTGAAGAACTACCCCATGCACGTTAGACCTGAGGAGATAGTTATTCATACACCAAGGTAGTGAAGAATGTCATTATTAGCCAGGACCAGAATCATATCCAGAGACGCCATCAGTCCATTATTCACGCAGCAGGCCATTAACACCTACTTTAGATGACATGAAGTACTTCAACTCCAAATTGTGGATGAATATGCAGATGAATAAGGCAGCAACAAAACATTAACTAAGAATTTGATTTTGAAAACTGTACTACCGTGTCAACGATACTACTTTTCCCTCCAAGGGTGATATGTTGTCCGAGGCAAGAGAAGTAGAGTCGCCTAGCAGAGCTACTTGTCTCCATCGATTGAATATTATGAAAATGACCAACTTCAGCTTCAGCAACATAAATTGAGACACGAAATATAAAACAGAATTGACTTTTGAAGGTGCTGTTCATAGCCTGGTCCATGAGAAACGTCTATAGTACATTATGGTATAATCAGATACTGAAAACATTGTCGCGTATGAACAATGTTTTCACTCTTAATCTTTGCTGCTACGATGGCGAAATCTGTTCTGCATCTGACAGTATTCCTGTATTTAAGAAGATTTGAGATATCAGATATGTGTATATTTACCCATCAGTGACAAATTCTTCGTCATTGCCACAAAGAACATCTTCTTGCATATCCTTCTGTATCTGCAATTCTGAATATTTCATTGGATGCTTATGTTTCAAGTGTGCATGAAAATTGGAGGTGTTGCCTTTAGTTTGTATAGCTTTTTTACACAAATGACACTGAATTTTGTTATCAGTCTTGTGAAAATATTCCCACACTGCACTTCTTCCTGAAGAATGCGACATGGCGTGGTTTACCAATAGGTACCTATACCTACAACGAAAAGTAATCAACATTCTGGGTGACTGGAATACAACTTTTTTTTATTATCAAATTATTAATTTTTGATCAGTTCATTGATTCCTGATTAGGAATGCAAATTTCCACCAAATAGATATTATTTTTTCTTAGATACCTACAATAGATATGATTGAATATTCAAAGTGATATATCAGTTACGAAATTCATTGTTTTCTGTTGGATATCACAACAATATTTCTTTTATATTCTTCCTATTTGAAGTTAGTACAATATAACATACAGGGTGTTCCTTATTGTTAAGTACATATTGAGAGAGGTGACTCTTTGGCTCATTTTAAAACTGAAAGTTCATATTAAACGTGAGTAGAGGGCTTTAGCCATTACCAAATCTCCCCCCAAGGCCAGAGGAGTGTGACTTTGGGGGAGAGTGACCTTGGGGGGAGTTACCTTGGGGGTGGCCTTGGAGGAGTGACATTCGGAACGACCTTGGGAGTGACCTTGGGAGTGACCTTGGGAATGACCTTGGGAGGGATACGGAGGTTTCATCTCGGACAATTGTCGTGGTGACCTTGGGGGGAGTAATTTTCGTGCGCATGTGTACCTCTTCTCAAGGATGTTTGGTGGTGTAGTGGGGTATTCCATGTCCAAGTTTCTATAAATACAGAATCCTCATCTTCAAGAGCATAGTTTTTCCGAAAATACTGCTGGCTGAACAATCTTGTCAGATCAGTGGAAGTGCGATAAAGTGTGATATCAGATTTACGTAAGTTCAATTATTTATATAGTTTTCATTCCTTCTTTCACTCGACAAGTAAAAATAGAAATGGCTCCTCCTAAAATTGATCTAGTCGCAATCAATAGTCGAATTAATGGGGAAAATGAAATTATTAAACAAATTCTAATATCGTCGCTACCACTGAATAAGAGTTTTATAATCAGGAAAATATCGTTATGTGGGACTCGATTCGGTAGAAGTGGCACCGTTATATTGTACGATGAAGAAACTGAGGTGAGCTCAAAATGTTGGTTACCAAAAAGAGTTGTAGACCTTTTGAAAGAAAGCGATGTTGATGAGATCAATTTTTTCAACGGCGTTTATACTTTAACGTACTTGGGTCAGAGTGAAACTTCATTTGCAGGTGCAAAGACGCGGGCTCTCATCAAGTTTGATGTCAAGGGGGGTGTAATTGACAAATAGTTTCATATTTCCTCAATTAGTTTTTCGATATAGTGTAGTGAAAAAGGTTTAAAAATTATATAATAATTCTTACATTAACATCATCACTTTATCGCGAATCATCATTGATTTCGATACTTTTTTGGTGAGTGTTATATTGGCTACATACATTGGAATCAAGCATTACATTTTTTCCACCGTGATCCATTACCTGAATGTTTTGTTTATTTACAGAATTGATCACTCTTGTGCAGGACACGTTCCCGAAATGTGTATGAATTATTCTAGTCAGTTTTGGCCTACGGCGGAAGATATCAGATCAGCTGTGAGGAGGTTGAAATGTCGATTCATGGATTTGGAGCGTGATACACTACATGCAGGGAATTATGATATGAGTGTATGCTTCGATCAAGTACAAGTTCAGCGCCTCCTCAAACAAGCTGAAAAATATAAAATTGGATTTCTACTATGTGCCCGCTATGAATACAGCAACATCACTTTGGAGCAATTCCTTGAAGCAATGGTTGAAGAAGACTTGGAACAATTTCTTTATAAAATCTTCGATTTGCTACCAAACAGCCTGATTCGGAAATACCACTTGGGGGTGATTCCAGACACTGAAGATGAAGGAGGACAAAGGGGGTGAATTGGGCATCTATATAGCGTTTTCGCGTAATATGTAATGCCGATAATATTTTGATGTAAAAATAAAACAATAGTTTTTAGTACATTTGTATTTTATTGATTACAATGAATAACAATATCGAGTAGATTGAGTAATGATAAATTCCATGAAGAGATCTAATAACTAATGTGATGACGGTGGCGGTGTCAGTGAGTAGTGGATCCGCATCTATCGTATTCAAGGAGCACCCATCTGTATGGAACCATCTAATGCGCTATATGTCATATATGCATCATGAAGAATAAGTGCGTAAACCTTTGTGTTTGGTGGAAACTTCGTTTCGCGGGTTTCAAACTCCAATTTGATGTCGACAGTAGAAGTTTTCATCGCATCGGGTTGGTGGTAGCAGTCGATGATGAATAACGGATTTTTTCGGAACTCCTCAATACTCATCATGGGTTCACCCATATCTTTGCCATAGTAACTACGTTGGAAATTTTCGTATGCATAGTAAGCCACAGCATCTAACTTTCTGTCAAAATCCAAATTCCAGCGCTCATATGGGTGAACTTCTGAATTCAAGTAAAGGCGAAATTATTCACTCCTGCGTGAATGAATTTCGTAGCGTCCTTGGATCTATCATCTGTATTATCGGAGCTTTGAAAACCGATAATGATGTATCGCGGGCGCTCGAGGCTACTAGTTGTTTTGATAGCCCAAATATCTGAAGCTATTTCACGAATGGCCGGTAACTCATAAAAATCCCACATCCTGTATGCTAACTTGATTTTTGCTGTAGAACTTTATTCAATCGATTCAACAACTTCAATTTCTGCCTATCGGACGGCATCACATGCCTTATCTTCCATTCGATTTTGTTGATCGTCACATTCGCATCAACTTCCCCCATATAGGAGTTTTTGAATGAGCGTGCTATGATGAGTATAAGCTCCTGCTTCATATTCAGAATTCCTTTATTATAGTCCTCTGCAAACCCCATTGAAAATTCAAGCGGTAGTTTTCCGCTGAATGTATGACTGGGTGTATCTAGAATCACCTGTTTATTTTCATCGGGACCCCATCCAACCGTGTCTAAAAATTTGGTGCTTGTCTCACCATAAGATATCATACTTTTCATTGTAGTGGTAATGCCCGGTTTTCGAATCAAACACACCTGTTCGCCACCCATTTCATAACGGATTTCATCGAACAGAAATGCGAGCGCATTACTGGACAGATGGCAGGTTTTTGCTAAATCGTTCGGGATGAATTTTCCCTCGATATAAATGTAGCTTTCAGCAATATCCAGTATCAAATCTTGAAAATTGACAGCAATCCTAATTTCATCGGAATTTGATGGAGAACCATATGGTTTGTATGTATGCTCATGTAGGCTAATTAGTGAATGATCAAAAATTGGTTCATCAAACACTTCCAATTGTAAACTAATAGAACTTGTGGCAACCATCGTTCACTTATTTCTGATCCTTCGTCGTTTTACTCTCAACCCAATAGACTTCAAAAAATTTAGGTCGCTCGCAGAAAGCTTATGATGTCTTCCTCGACCGATGATTTGCCCTTGACTGAATCCTTTTCCACGTTTACACTTCTCCTTATTGGTAATGTGCAGAATAGTGGGGTGAGTAGCGAGCGATACACGTTTTGATTGGTTTCCAAAGCAGAAGCCCATCTTCCAAATCGACGTAAAAAATTTAATTTAGCTGTTTCAATTCCAACTTCACTATAATCTTCTCTCCTCGGAAGTCGACTAAATGATCGTTATCATCCAAAATTCTCAGTGTGATGTTGTCGATAGACTGACGCCCTGTCGGACTGATTGGTAGATATATTATATTTTTCGGCTCCTTTGAAAGTTTGTATCCTGGCTCCACATCGACGTCGAACTCGTAAAGCGTGTGAACCTCCTCACCATTGAGGTATGCTCCAGTGGTGATATTACAATCAACCCGTATCAATCGTACCTTTATGATGTTCACAGGTAAAGTGGATTCATGCAAAATATTGGGCCGGTAAAATCCCGATTCAAAACCCAACACTTTGGCTATATAAGTAGCAATATCTAGACTTATCATGAATTCGGACTTGAGTTCACATTTGAGCGTATTATTGTTGGCACGAAGAGAGAACACATCATCAATATTTCGCCCATTTAGCGGAACCCCTCTTTCTATAGCCTTTCGTATTGCTCTATTGATTTCTTCTATTTCATAGGCGCCTGGTGGTATTTCAACAAGAAAGCTTTCCTCTTCATACCAAACAACTAATTTGTTATTTGTCCCATCTATATTGAGTATAGAGTTGTATGAATAGAACCCGTGTAACCCCAAACCGTAAGTATTCCTCACATCGAGCTCAATTGGCGGAAAAAAGTCTGCACTCAGGATACTGCGATCTATAGAAATGGTAAATGTTTGCGACATAACTTCTCATGAATGAGGAAAACAAAGAAAACAGCGAAAACCAAAAGCAAACGTCAATATATACAGTAGCAGCGTTAAGAGCATCAACCTTATTGCTGCCTGCAACAATGAAGAATGCCCGGGTTTTCGGTAGGTGAAGAATTAATATCAAATTTATTATTAGTTGCCACATTTACATCTTTCACTTGACAAAAACAACATAATATTTTTCTTGGCGCTGGTCCATCATTCACATCGATGTTGGCATGTTGGCCACCCTCCTCCTGCTCTCCACCATAATGTTCTTCACAAAATCGGTATTTGGCTATATCCGGATCGTTTTGTAATTGTTCCGGTAACTTATCCCACACTATAGCTATCTCATGTGATGCCAACCCAATGAGTACTTCTTTCGGCATATCAGCCAACTGTTTCTCACTCATTTCCAGTAAGGAGCGTAATCTTGAAAAAGCCAATAATGCATGTTCCATCCGCTTGATACTCTGCCTATCCATGTTTTGCAACTTTTATTTCACTGATGCCACTGTTAGCTGAGAGAAATTTCACAGGTGACCACACCAGACTGTGTTGAAATCCTGCTGGCGCTCATAGTTATAC